AAAACCAAGAAACTGAAAATTGTTTAACATATGAGCCAATTAACTACTTGTTTTGATTCAATTTTGGTTTGGCTTTTTAAAAAACAAAGTGGTTTGATTCAATTTAAAAAAAAAAAAAAATGGTCACCAAATTGTGAGCACCCCTAATTGAGGCTATACATATCTCCCACCCATATCTCACTACAGCTGTACATTTAGAACGAGCTCGGATTTGCTACCCACGAGATGTTCCCACATCTCTACCCATGAGACATGACAACTGTGCATTGGGAATATCTCCCTTATCATTCATGGGGAGATGTTCCCAATACATGGTGGTGGTCCTTTGTGGGTATGGATGTGGGACAACTTGTGGGTAGCAAATATCGAGTCATTTAGAACATCTACCGCATTTTCATGTTACCATTCATGGGGAGATGATCCCAATGTACAACTATAGTGTCATGCTGGTAGGTGTGGGTAGGAGATCTGAATTGTATTTGAGGGGGCAACTAGCAAGGTATATTTTAAGTAGTGGTTTTGGAACCACTAGGTATAATCCCTACAAGCAAAAAACTTTGTACACATTCTAAAAGCGTAGAATTCAGGTGGACATTGATAACATCTCCCCTTGAATTTAACACGTGGGAAAATATTCCCAATGCATGGATCCATGTTGGCATGTTATGTGGGTAGAGTTTTCAGGCTCTAATGAAAAAGGTATATATATATATATATATATATATATATATATATATGTAGTTTAGTCAAATCATGGTATATATATAAAGTAGAAACGTGCCATGTCAAATAGCCTGAGCTTTCTTCCTTACCCCAACCAGGAATTCTTAGTCGCTCTTCATTTTAGCCTTCCTTGCTCTCTCATGAAGCCACCACAACACTCCCTTCTCCCTCTCTCATTTTGACATCTCAGCATGCTTGCCCCATCCCTCTTTCCTCTATGTTAATCCCTTCCTAAAACTATTCCTAAAATCTCTCTCTACCAAAATCTAATATAATATAGCCAAGTGGCACCACTATCCCCCACTTTCTCCTAAATTATCTTTAATTCCTATTTATCTCCTAAATTATACATAATTCCTAATTATCTCCAAAATTATCTCTAATTTAGGTGGCGTTTAATCGCACTTTTCAGATGTTTGAATCTGAAAACGTTGCTTTTCAGACCTCAGACCCGTTTGATGTCTCCTCTAAAAACTAATATGAATTTTGTTTTCAGATCTGAAAATCATAGCGTACAGGCCCACTCTTAACATGCTCAGACGCATTTCAGAGCCGATGCATGGTCGAAATTACCCTTCAACTCTTTTTGAAATGACACACTTTACCCTTGTGTAATCCAAACCCAAAAAACCTAGGTCATTCGTGTTTTCGCTTTCAAGGATGGAAAGGAAGAACACCGCTCGTTATTATAATAATAATAATAATTATTATTATTATTATTATTATTACTAATTATTTTTAGTGATTATTAATTATTAATTATATTAATATTTTTTATTAAACATTAATTATTTTTTATTAGTGATTATTTATTTTTATTGTGTTATTTATAATTATTAATTATTTTTAGTAATTATTATTTATTTTATTATTTTTATCGTGTTATTTCAGTATTATTAACAATTAAATAATGAATTATTTATTAATTACTAATTTTATTAATTTTTATTAATTATTTTAATTTTTATTATTTTAATATTTTTGTTAATAATTAATTATTTTATTAGTTTTTTGTATAATTTTGATATTATTTTGAATTTGATTAGTTATTTTATATGAAATAGTGCTAATTGCATTCACAATTACAAAATAGCCTGTTCTAGGGGTAAAATAGTAAAACAAAGCAATTTCAGATGTTGTAGAATTGATCCAACACAAACAACATTATCTATTCAGATCCTCTAAAAAGTAGAAAAGCATTTATTCCTTTTTTCTGGTTTCAGACACTTTTAATATCTTTTTAACTTTTCAGACTTCAGATTTTAGATTTATCAAACGTCACCTTAGTAGAGAGTTCTCTCCTAAATTATCTCTAATCCGTATTTATCCTATCCCCCACTTTTCATCTATATCTATCAAAAGAAAGTTTCAATTAAAAAATTAAAGAATTATTTAAATATTATAATGAAATTATGTAATAACTTTAAAATATTTATTAAAAACAAAAAAAATGTCATAATTTAATAATATTCATATTATTAATAATTTTCTACTTTTATGAAATTCATAATAAAATTATGTACTAACAATATAAATTATAATTTTATTAATTATTCAATTTACATATTATTTAAATAATAAAAATCTAAAATTAAAAATATTATTTTAAAATTTCAATAACTAAATATTATAAATAACAAAATATTAAAAGTAGCTCAATATTTATATAACAAAATATTTAATATTATGTAATAACTTTAAAATAAATAAAATTTTTAAATATTTTACATATTATTTAAATATTTAAATAACAATATTTTAGATAATGAAATATTTAACATAACTAAAATTTAAATAGTTAAAATAATGAAATATATCTATATATATATAGCAAGATGGTTCATGTCACCATGCCTTTCCTTGCTCCATTACCCTCACACTACATTCTCCTTGACTCTCTCTCCTCTCTCCTTCCCACCACTCCCAATAAGCCAAGTCTCCAGACTCTCCCTCTCTATTCCCAACCTAACTACCTAAAAATATTCCTAGAATCTCTCTCCTAAGATATCTCCCCTAAGTCATTAGGAAATGTATCATGTAGTAAATAATTATTGAAAATTATTGGAATATTTTGGAAAATTTATTACATTTGATAGATTTTGGAAAATTATTGAAAATTTGTGTAATTTTCATTGTAAATTATTAAAGCTAAATGAGTATGGGAAAGGGAAAGTTGTTACACAAATTATTAAGATAAATTAGTATAATATTGGAAAAACAAAATTATTTGATTAGTTTATATTAGAAACTATAAGATAAATTAGTGCAATTTTGTGAGTAAACCATTTAAAAAGAAAATAAATTATTTAATAGCAAATTAAAAATAAATTTCAATAAGTTTTCATAATTACACACATGTAATAAATTTTCCAAAATTTTCATAAAATTACATTTTTGAAAATTAAAGATAATTTAGTATACTTTTGGAAATTTACCATTTGGTTGATACTCAATATATCATTTTGATTATTTTTGTCATCAAATTGAATATTGGGTTCCTCGTGTTAGATAGTGTATACCCTTAGCTCCAATCAGCATGATGTACATTATGACATTTATAGTAAATAAATAAAGTACATATTTGATTCATGTTATTGTGGTGTGTTTCTGTGTAATACCCTTAAACTGGACACATATGAGACTCGTGTTAGTTTAGAATCTTCACAGTCGTTGAATAGATCTGGGGAGATTTATCCTGTCAAAGTTGACACTGATGTACTACCAAGTTGGTTGGGTGGCTTGTCTCAACTTCCAGAGTGAGACCTAAGGTACATACAGTGTGAGTTTTCTTGAAACCCTGAACCGAACCAAAATTCCAGTATTACCCTAGACCTTGGAGACAGATGGGCAAAACTAGAATGTTATACCTAACCCCTATACTCGATTATGATACTGCACTAGGTGTCGGATTGGGCTGTCTTTGATATGCCAATCAATGAGATCCTTAGAGGGGGTCAAAACTTGGGTATGTTGGGACAGTCTGAGAATTCATCTGAGTGGGTAATCATAGTGACAGGATCAGCCCCTTTGTTGGACAAAGTGAATGATCGGGAAAATGCACTATCTTTGATGGAAACCTAAACTGCTAGTAGTGGAATTCAAATGTGTTTGAAATTTGGTTTTGTAAAATATATATATAATTGTTTCAAAATGTCCGCAAAATGTTTTAATTCCCGGGATCCATGTGAGTAGAGAGGTCATTGCAGTCGAGGGAGAGGTCCTCTCTTGTTGGGCAGTGTTTGATCATTATGGGCTAAGAGGTTAAGTGTAAGACCATTGAAGGTTATATCTGATGGGATAATTTTGCATCTGCCCACAGTCCTTGGGCCTTCATAAGATGGCTGCACCCAATGACCATTTAGTGTAAATGTTGGGCCCATTGGGAACCCATAGAGAGCCCATAGTGATGGACTCAGGGGTTCACTATATTCAATAGTGAATTCGGCCAGACCTTGTAATAGAGGCTAGGCTGAACCCATGTGGCTGATGTGTAGATCAATGTTAGGGTCCCACGCCATATAAAGAGTGCCAAACTAGCCAGCATTTAAAGGGAAAGTGAGCTATGTGACTAAATAGGCCCAAAGCCCATTTCGAACTGGGTTAATTGGATTAATTAAATATGGGCGGATCTGGGTTTGGATCAACAGATAATGATAAGATGATAACTCTTATCCACTTAAAGAGTTTAGATCCAAATAGAGATTTGGATCAAGGAACTCCTAATGATTAGGGATAGCTGATCTTTATCTGTAGATAAGATAATGGATTATCTTTATCATTTAAAGAGTCAAGGTCCAAATAAAGATTTGGATCAGGAGATTCCTAATCAGATTACAGAAGACAACTCAGTTAGAATGATCTTGCTTTCAGTTCTTTTTCTTCCTGCTCTTGCCGCCCTACCCCGTTCGATTTCCGATTCTTGGATCTGATCAAGATTTGATCTTGATATTGTTTATTGCTAGAAGAAACAATTTTGAAGCTATGCTCACTACCTTATTTGATTCTTGCTGAAGAATCATATGTTCTTAGTGAAAAATTACCTGTTGATCCTGCCTCATTCTATGCTCACTACCCTTATATGCTTTATTTCATGGGAAGATATTCCAATGCAAGACTGATGGAGACTGTTCGAAGGGTGTGAGCATGGACATGCCCTTACTGAAGCCGAATTCGTTTTTTCCAAACAGCCAAAGTGATATCTTTTTCGAGAATTTCTATTTCCCCATCATTTCCAAAACCATTCAATTTAGTTAACTCAGCTATTTGGGTCGGTCCAGCCTTTTTCCTTCCCTTTCTAAAGTGTTAGGGGTTCTTTTTCCTTTGTTGCTCCTCGTTTTCGTTTTGAAATTTGAGGGAAGAAAAAAACAGTAAATTTGAGAAGCTGAGGAAGCGCGGATTTTGCTTAATTTTAGCTCCAATTAATCAAAGGGAGTTGATGGGTACTTGCGTGTCAGTTCAGTTGGTCAGCCTCGTTAGAAAACCTAACTTATGGGCGTTGCTCGCATCCTACTGTTCCAAAATCGAGCTCTTCTTCGACAAGAATCGATCTTTAGAGTACACTTTAGTGCTTCTGCAGCATCTTTGGATGAACATCCGTCCGCTTGCGCCCTAGCTGATGAAAATGATGTCGTTCCCAGCGAGAGTTCTTACCACAGTAGAGAGTGTAAACTATTTCCATTGATAGTCCGAGTATTCCATTCTTTGAGTTGGAGAATTGCCAGAAAAATAACGTTCTCAGAAGCTGTCGAAAGGTATGGATTTTATTGTTCTATTCATGCTTTTGGGTTCATGGTCCATATCTTCTCATCAGCAGGCATGGGAAGGGAGGTATCCTGTTTATTGGGAGAGATTGTGCGCTACTACAGGGAAGCAGACTATGATACATTTGAATTGCTCCCCTCATTGCTGCATTTGTCTGGGGCAGAAAGATCAGTGTTCACATTCGAAGTCCTTATGCACGTTTTCTTGAAGTGTTCAATGCTCGAGAATGCAATCGATGTGTTTGTGAAAGCCAAGGGCATTGGACTTGAACCAAATGTTTTGTCCTGCAATTTGTTGCTCAGGTATCTGGCCGAGGGGAACCGAAAAGAATTGCTTACCTATCTGTTTGATGAAATGAAGAACTCTGGGCCGTTTCCTAATGTCTATACTTATACCATTTTGATGAACTTTTACTGCAAAGGAGGTCTTGGGCAGGCTGAGGCAGACATCAAGCGAGCTACGGCAATACTAGAAGAAATGGGCAGGTGTGGTGTATGCCCAACAGATGTGACATATAGTACGTATATTCATGGGCTTTGCAGATTAGGAGATGCAGAAATGGCACTGAACTTTCTTCGTGACTTGAGACGTAGAAACCAGCCTCTTGGTTGTAACTGTTACAACGCTGTTCTATATGGTTTTTGTAATAAAGGTGAGCTACACACGGCTATGTGGATTTTTGAAGAAATGAAGAGATATGGAGTATCACCGGATGTTTACAGCTACAGCATTCTGATCGATGGGAGCTGCAAGAAGGGGGATATTCCGAAAGGCCTGAGTTTACTGGAGGAAATGGTGATCAGTAACTTAAGGCCTTCAATGCATGACTATAACTCAATTTTGAATGGTCTATGTGAAGGTGGATACATGGAAATTGCACTGGATGTGTTCTATAAACTTGAATCTGCTGGTTATATGCCGGATCAGGTTTCTTACAATATCTTAATCAATGGATTTTGTAAGTGTGGAGAATTAGATTGTGCCAATAGATTTTTGGATGAAATGATCAGAAATAAATTTTCTCCTGATGTTATCAATTATACCACATTGATCCATGGTTACTGCAAGAGGGGACGCTTGGAGAAAGCCTTGAAACTTTTTAGATTCATGCTGGAGGGAGGTATATTACCGGACATTGTGACTTGCACCATTATTGTTGAGGGATACTGCAAGGAAGGGCGTATGAATGAAGCATTTTTACTTATGAATGAAATGAAAGACCTAGGTATTACTCCCAACTTGTTTACCTATAATGCAATAATTAACAGGCTTTGCAAGGAAAGGAAATCAGAGAGTGCTTGGGAACTATTCCTTTTGATGCTGAAGAGTGGTCATTTTCCTGATGTTGTTATCTATAATACTCTTATTGATGGGTTTGTCAACCAGTCAAATTTAAATAAGGCCTTCAAGTTGTATGCAAGGATGTCAAAAGATGGAGTGACACCCAACAATATTACATATACGAACCTGATCAAAGGATTGTGTAGTTGTGGCAGATTTCATGAAGCCTTGAATTTGTTCAAGAAAATGATTGCAAAGGGTTTGATGCCGGATGAAATTTCTTACAAAAAAGTTATTGCTGGCTTTTGTAAAATTAGAGATAGGAAGATAGCTTGAAAACTGTTCTCTGAAATTAAACAAAGAGGCTTTTCACCAGATGTTGTCGCTTATTCCTGTCTGGTTGATGGGTATTTGCACATTGAATCAGTTGGACAGTGAGCTCCTTCTGGATAAAGGTTGAAGGTGTTCAATGAAATGAAGGAGAGGGGCATCTTCAGATGGTAATACCTATCTGAGACTAGGATTTGGTAATGTCCATGATGATGGTTAGGGGCCCAAAGAAATGATTGCCGTTAACCAGATAATATTATTCAGAGTATGAGACCAAATTTATACTTGGTAAGAACCTGGCATCCCCATCCCATAAAATTTGATAATATATCTTGGTTTTTTTTGATTGTTAATGTGATAATATGGCATTGTTTCATAATAAAGGTGATTATTATATCATCGACTTTCTCTCTTGCAGGGCTGTTCACTGCTTTTCTTCATCTCAGGAAATATGAATAATGATCTAACATTTGCAGTGCTTCAACTCACCAAGTGCCAAATCTAAAAGGAATCCTTGTGTGGTTTGAACCAGTAACTGGGTTGCATATTAACATGCACAAAAGTGAATATTGCAGCAGGTGAAGTGGCTAATCTTGCTCTATTGGATGACAAAATGGGTTGTAAAATGTGGATTTTGCCATCTAAATATTTGTGGTTGCCTTTTAGGGAAAAATATACCTCAAAAGCAATTTGGAACCCCATTATAAAGAGGGTGGAAGTCGAAGTATTTATCTGAAGGGGGAATTGGTGCTGAACTGCTGATTAGAAATGTGCTTTCTTGTTTTCCTACTTATTTGCTCTCCATAAAACCAATTTTGACTAGCACTGCAAGAGCAATTAAGAAGAAAATGTGAAGCTTTTTATGGAAAGGTTGGAGGGAGGAGTTTAAATTTCACCTAGTAAATTGGAGAAGAGTTTGTGCTCCATGGGAGGAAGGGGGTTTGGGGTAAGGAACATTCATGAAGTCATTGTGGCTTTACTAGGAAAATGGTTTTGGAGATATGCCAAAGATCGCAATATTTTATTGGAGAAAATGATTGCAGACAAGTATGGATCCAATAATAGAGATTGGGGTCCTGGTTGGGCAAATAACTCCTTTGGATGCTCACTGTGAAAGGATTAGAGAAGGTACCGACAATTTTGCAGGGGTATCAGCTTTGAGGCAGGGAATGGAGCTAGGATTAGCTTCTGGGAGGATAGATGGGGTTTATAAAGGTCCGTCAAGGATGTGTTCTCTGCTCTTTTGGACTAGGTTCTAAGCAAGGTTGCTTCTATGAAGGAATATTACGATGAGCAGAATGGTTCTATTGGTTAGAATCCTGTTTTCAGGAGAAATCCTAATGATTGGAAAGTAAATCTGTATTCGAATTACTGTAGGTCCTAGATGATGCAAAGATAAATGGTAATTACCCAGATAAAAGGATATGGCATTGGAGTAATTCAAAGAAATTCTTTGTTTTGTCCTTTTACAAAAGTCTAGTTTTGGATGGAGACACCACGTTTCTGATTTGAAAGGTTTTGGGTATAGCGGTTCCCTCCCAAATTTCATGTTTTTTTTTTCTTTGTTATGATAAGAAGAGGGCTGGGTTGAAAATCCAAATTGCATCTTTTTGTAATAGCAATTTGGAACACCCAATCCAACTACAGAAGGACAAGGACCACAAAGACACAAACAATCATAATGAAAACTAGAGACCCCCATACAAAAGCAGCTAGCCTTCAGCTTCAAAGGTCTCGTCATACCCGTCGTCGTCCTCGTTCCATACCTTAACTTTTTTTTTTTTTTGAAAAGTAAATAAGAATTCCATTAGAAAAACCAAAAGAGAATACAAGAGGAAGGTGATAAGTTATCACCCGAGAGGAGAAACAAAACTGAGACACAGACTGATACAAATCAACAGCATACTACAGAATTCTAGCATAATAAAGATGAAAACACCTATAGGACTAGACCCTGAGCCATCTCCACATTCTCCCACCTGCATCGCAAGCATATAGAACCTAGCGAAATCAGGACCCTAATCTTCCCCTTCCAACACTTCCTCCTGCCCATCGTCATCTTCATCTGACATCTCTCCTCATCCAATTAAACCTTTAGGCTTTCTTCCCTCTTCCTCCTCCCAAACTCTTCAAAGGCTTTCCTGGCAAACTCCTTTACTGCCCCAGAAGAACAAGCCAAGGCTTTTACCAATCTCTACATCTTTTTCAGCAGCTTTCTCAATGGAAATACTTCCAGGTCTCTCCACCTTTTTTTCAGAGCTCTTATCAGGAACTCTCACAATAGAAGCAGATCCAATTTCCATAGTTTCTTCATGCAGAAGAGTCCCCACCTGATTACCCATATAGGAGACAACCTGAGAGTCCTCCTTAACAACTGCTTCGCTTGTCGATAAAACATTCTTACTCCCTCTTCTCTTATACACCCTCTTGTAGTTCCTTATGGGACCAGTCCCTACCAACCCAGGTTTCAACTGAGAGAAAACTTTGGTGATGTGAATAGTATGTGAATATCTCACTCCATTGACTCCAAGAGATTTTTTGGAGGTCACTTCTTCAGCTACACCCATATTTTTCTCAGCCTCCTCTTTCCTCCCCGAATTCACACCTAACCTTCCAATCACCATCTCAAATAGCCGGTGCTCAGCATCATCACCTTTGGCTTGAGGCAGGGCTCAACAGACCGTGCCAAGGTCAACATTTCCTCCATTGCCAAACCCTGATTTGCCTCCTGAGTCCTGAATCAGCAACAACAACCCCTCTTGAGTCCTTCTCCCTCTCTTTCAGCCCAATCTTTCCTTCTTTATGGATCTCGATAGAAACATTAGCCAAAATTCCAAATTCCTTTTGCACCAGAAATAGAAACCGGAGACGACGTACGAACATTTTCCTTCAATGTCACAGCTCCAACTTCCACCATAGATTGATCACATCAAACATGGGCCTCATCGCTATTGCTAGGGATTCAGACAACATCATGATCAGTATGATCCTAGCCCCCTTTGCAATCTTCACAGTGACCTTCTCCTTCTTCCTTCTACCATGCATTTCCTCCTTCCCCTATCAAATTCTTCTTCATTCTCTCTTCCCTTTTGCTCTTTTCAAATGTTTCGAAAGCTCATGAATTCCTCTCCACCCCAAAAAATAACCCTAAGCTCTTGCTTATTCTAACACCCCTGTCGGCCAAGCTCTTAATCTCCACTATATCCCCCTCCTTTCTAGCTTGTTGAGACATAGTGAAACAACTCTCACCATTCCATTTTTTCCTTTGTCACTATAAGGGCCAGCCGAGTTCAAGAGTCGTAGAGCAACTTTAAGTTGTACCACTAACATCATTGTATTCTCTAGGGGCACATCCTTCTTAGCTCGGTACATTATTCCTATTGATATGCCTAACCCCATTGATGTAGATGCTTTTACCGTGGATGATCTTGACATTCCTATTGCAAAAAAAAGGGTGTCAAGTCCTGTACCACTAAGCATCCCATTTCCTATTTTTCTTCCTATGGTAACATCTCACCTTCTTTCCATGCCTCTCTTTCTTCTATTGACAATGTTCCTATTCCTAGGAATGTGGTAGAGGCCTTGTTGGTACTTGAATGGATAGATGCAATGAATGAATAAATAAGTGCTTTATATAAAAATGGTACATGGGGATTGGTGGACCTTCTTGAAGGATAAGAACCATTAGGATGTAAGTGGGTATTTACAGTGAAACACATGGTTGTTGGCATAATGGAAAGGTATAAAGCCCAGTTGGTGGCAAAGGGTTTTGTTGAGCAAGAGCAAGAGAAGAGAGGAGAGGAGAAGAGAGAAGAGAGGTGA